GGCTGGCTGGGGAATTCTGGGAGTTGAAGTCCACCCATCTTAAAGGGGCCAAGGTTGAGAAGCACTGGACTAGAGACTCTTTGACAAATGAGAAAGGGGTGTGGTGGCTAGGAGACAAATTGTATGTCCCAGCTGATTCCAGAAAGGTGATCCTAGAGCATGGCCATGACAGCAAAATGGCAGGGCATTTTGGATTTGTAAAGATGTTACATCTTCTGCGGAGGCAATTCTGGTGGCCATCCATGAGAAAGGACATAGCAGACTATGTATCCACTTGCCCCACGTGTGCAATGGCCAAAAGACAAGGGGGTAAACCTATGGGTTTGTTACAACCAGTAGCAAACCCTGAAAGACCTTGGAAGCAAATTGCTATGGACTTTATTGTTGAATTACCCGAGAGTAAAAAGAAGACGGTGATCTGGGTAGTTACGGACTTGTTTTTGAAACAAGTGCATTTCGTGGCATGCATATCAATTCCCTCAGCAGGGAAGCTGGCCAAGATGTTTATACAACATATCTAAAGATCACACAGGGTCCCTGACAGAGTCATTAGTGATCGCGGAACCCAGTTCACCTCAAAATTCTGGAGGGTGTCCCTGAAGTTGATTGGGTCAAACCAGGGTCTGAGTTCGAGTCACCACCCCCAGACAGACGGGGCCAGTGAATGTCTGAACTCTGCATTAGAACAATATTTAAGGTGCTTTGTTAATTACCAGCAAGACAACTGGGCAGACCTCCTGCCATTTGCCGAGGTGGCGTATAACAACGCTGTACCTCAAAGCACAGGGTTTACCCCATTCAAAATAGCTACCAGCCAGGATTTTGTACCAATCCCAGAACTTCCCCAAAAACTTACTCAGGCGGCTTCAGGAGATGAGTGGATTAAACAAATGGCAGATATATGGCCAGAAATTAACAAGGCATTGCGAGAAAGGACTATAAAAAATATGCCGATCGCAAGTCTCCTCTCATTTGAACTATTGCAATGCCCTCTACATGGGGCTGCCTTTGAAGAGTGGAAGCTGCAGTTGATCCAGAATGCAGCAACTTGGATAGTTATGAGTACTAGTTGGTTTAGCCATGTAGTAAATTTAGCCATGTAGTAACACTGTTGCAAGAGATGTCTCTTGCAATTGATGGTTATCGGTTAGCTTCTGGGTGCAATTCAAGTGCTTGTTACCTTTAAAGCCCTTCATGGCTTGACACCTGGATATCTCGAGGACCACCTTCTTTTGTTGGCATCTGCCTGTTGAATAAGAAAAGAGAATGGGCTCCTCTGGGTCCCTACCCCTAGAGAGCCTCATCTGTAGGAACCTTCAGGGCAGGCCTTCTCTGCCATTGCCTTCCTTCTCTGGAATAGTATTCCCCAAAAGATCAGGTTGTCCCCTATGCCTTTGGTGTTCTGCAAGGCTATTAAGACTTGACAGTTGCAACAAGCCTTTGGGGTCTGAAAAGTAGAATGGTTCTTTCTGGAAGGAAATGTTTGTTGATTATGGGATTTTCCTGCAGTAACAAAGTGCTAGACAACTGTAAAAGAGCAAATTACCCTCTTTTCAGAAAAGGAAGATGATCCAAGGAACTACAGACTAACCAGTTTGATGCTGTTCCTTGGGAAGATAGTAGAAGAAATGATAAAGAGATCAGCTTATAAATACCTTGACAATAATGCCTGAATTAATTACCAGAAATCAGCATGGATTTGTCATAAACAAACTAACCTTCATTTTTTGATAAGGGAACTTCTTCAATAGATTTTAGGAATAACATCTTGATTTCAACAAACATTTGACAAAATATTCCATGACATTATAACTATCAAGTAGGGGCTGGATGGCATGTCAAATAAGTTAGTACATAGCTGTCTTAGAAATTATATTCCTCATGTACTGGGATGAGGTACTGATTAGGGTGCCACAAACTTGAGTCCTGGATCCTATACTCCTCATCCTATACTCCTCAACATGTTTAATAATGATGTGGATGAAGAGGTATCAGGAATGCTTATAAATGTATAGATGACACCAAATTGGGTAGAATTGCTCATTCTCTAGAGCAATAGAAATAAAATTCAAAATGATTTTGATAGAGAAATGGATTCCAAATAGAATGGAATTTAACAGAGGCAAATGAAGAATTCTTCATTTAGAAATCAGATGTCAAATGCATAGAAATAGAATTAGGAACATCAGCTTTGTAATAGTACTTGTGAAAAGTATCTTGGAATAGTAGTTGATTTCAAACCAAGTATGAGTCAGCAATATAATGTGCTGCAAAAAATGCAAAATATATTTTAGGCTGCATCAACAGAAGTATAGCTTCCAAATCATAGGAAGTCAGGCCCCAAGTTGAATACTGGGTCCAGTTCTGGGTATCACATTTTAAGAAAGATTCAGACAAACTAGTTTAGGTTCAGAGGATGATAATGAAGATGATTAGGGATATTAAGTCCTACAAAGAGGGACTAAGGGAATTAGGAATATGTAGCTCTGAGAATAATAAAACCTAGGAGGGATATGACAGTATTCCTCTTCAAATACAGTGGGGCAAAAAAGTATTTAGTCAGCCACCAATTGTGCAAGTTCTCC